AAATCAAGTGAAGAAGGGCTGGAGCTAGGTAAAGGTGATAAACCACGGGTTGGAGAGCTGCCAGCACCCTCAATAGGGGAATCAACTGCCATCAGAGATGGGGTAGCAGTTGGAATTTCCTTGGAAGGAGGAGGAGGAGCAAGGCTCGATAGAGAAGTAAATTGAGGAAAGTCGAGGGTCAAGTGGGAAAGATGTGGAGTCAAACCAAGAGAAAGAAGTGCATGAATGCTTGGCCTCAGGGAAAGTGCAGGAAATGTAGTCCTTGAAAGTGGAAGTATGATCTGAATAACCCTCGCATCCCTCACATCCTGCATCTGATCAACCTCAAGTGAAACTGACGGAGGTCTCACTGGCAAGATGAACTCAGTTGTTGGTATTGCAAGAGGAAGAAATGTAAAGCAATGTTAAACTTCAATACCAAAGGCTAACAAGGGAAAAACAGCAGAAATATGAAAGAAATTACCCACTCCAGAAGTGTCGGCAATGATGGGAGAACTACGAAGGGAGTAATGTATGGCAGTTTGTTGCCTTCTTGAAGTTTCACTTTGTAGTGCATCATCAGCAGCAACTTCACCTCTTAGAAATTGTTGCTGCCGTCTCTTCTCAGCTCTCTCAAAGACAATTATGGCCTTGGAATGCTCTTGTTCCACTGCCTTAGCAGCTGCCTCATGTATAGGGTCTTCAACAAAATCAGAAGAAGAGACAGTCATCTTCCTTTTCCTTTTTCTTTGAGCAGGCATTGAATGTTCTTCCTCAACTTCTTTCTCTCCAGTTTGGGATTCAGATTCTTCAGAAGTAAGTTCCTCCACTCTGACCATTGTCTCATGCATGGGATCTTGAACCAAACCAGAAGAAGGGACGACTACTCTTTTCCTTCTTTTCAGGGGAGACTCTTGCTCTTGGGTTAACTCTTCTTCTGCTTCTTCTTCTTCTTCTGCTTGCACCTCAAAAGCTTCCTTCTCAGGCTCAAGTAAAAGTCTCCTTTTCTTTTGTTGCTGTTTGCTTTTGAGGAGATTTAGAGCTTGAATTTTCTTAGGAGAATCTCCTTATGAGGTACCTACACCACCTTCACAAAAGGAAGAACTAAAGATAAAACTGAAAGCATTATAAAGAAGGTAAAAGAGAAGAGATTAGAGTATATACCTTTCTTCGAGGTAGCCCGAGTAACTCTAGGAATAGAAGCAGACACAAGAACTGAAGTGGTCAGAACAGTGAAAGAAGTAGCAGCTCCAGCTCCTTTGGGCTTGGGTACATCTAACACCGTCAGCAGGTCTTGAGGGGAATGTCCAGGTGCACTTCCATATTGGTCACCCACCAATTTTGGTATCTCTTCAAAATGTTACCTTGGGGAAAGAAGAGGATATACTCAAAATCGATCAAGTCCTGTATAAATTTGGAAGTTGCCTCTTCCAGTCTGGACCTTCGAACTTTCACATCCTTTGTGGTAAGACTTAGATTGGTGTTACTACAGAGAGGTATTGGGACCCCCTGAGTGAAGCCAAATTGTCTAGCAAATTGTGCAGGACAATAGGGCTTAGCAATGCATTTGTATGCTCTGGGGTTCATGGTCCCAATGAATAATTCTCTAGGAATTAAAATGGAGGCTCATATATCCTTGTGAACAGGTAAAGCACAGAGCCTATCACTTAGGAAATTCTTCAACCAAAGTGGGCCGATAGTAGTGGGTTCGAAGGGACGAAAGCAGTGGGAAAGACGAGAAGCTGAAAGTTGGTAGAAGAAAGAGAAGTAAAAAGCAAAAGTAGAAGGATAAAGAGAAGCACTGGCTAGCCTCATGCCATAAGTAGGAGGGTCTGGTTTAAAAAATTTAAGGCATTTGGATTGTAATTCGGGGAAATAAGCAAAAAGCCAAAGCTGAAGAATCCAAATCGGTCCTCCTTGATTGACATCCAAGGGTTTCTCACAAAAAAGAGAGCAGGCTCTGTATATGTGACCTAGAATGTATGGGGCTAAAGCCATCCTCTTCTATTAAACAAAGGCTTTGGCAAGAGGGGCAAATTCAGGCATAATTCTTTGAGAAGAGGTGCAGAAAAGGAACTTGCCAAGCCAATATAGTAAGAAAGAAAAGAATTCCCTATTGGTCACAAGACCCTCCCTTCTATTCTCAGCCTTGACAAAGTCACTATAGGATGAGTTAAGAGAAGGGAGGGAAAAGGGGACTGCTAGGTCAGGATAATCTGGTCCAATGGGAGTTCCAATGGGAGATAATCCTAAAAGATGACAAATGTCAAGCACAGTAGGGGCCATCATCCCACATTTGAACTGGAAGAAATTAAAAACAGAATTCCAAAAGCACAGAGCAGCAGGACTTAAAAAGGGGTCCTCTGAAATGGTTAACCTGGATAACCGAAGGGCGTCGAGGAGGCAGAGTTCTTGAAGGTCCAGGGTCCTACTAGGGACAACTCGATCATACCATTCTTGCTACTCCGGTTTCACCGTGGGCCAGCATCGGTGGGGGCGATTCGTCTTCTAGTTACTCCAGTCAAGGCCACCTTCGTAAAGGAGACAATGGTCTTCCAGACAAGGGTATAGAGCTGGAAGCTCAATAGGAATCTCCTTGAATATGGGACCAAGCACATAGTCTTGTTGCACATGATGACGAGGAATGAAAATGCGTCCGTCAATGGCACTTTTCTCCCTAGCTTTGTACTTTTCACATTCTACATCAATGAGCCTTTTTACGGCTACAGATGGGCTCGCACACTCTACAACTGGCACTTTCAATGAAGAGAAAGCCATTGATAAAATGCTTTCTCAAAGGACGAAGCTGGCAAAGGAAGTAGAAAGAAGTGGGAGACGAATAGAGGTGAAGGGTTTTGTATGTTGAGCGAGCAAGTGATTTCAGAATGTGGAATAAAAGGATTTCAAAAGCCTTTATATCTAAAAGATACGTCGCGTAAATTCGTTAAGTACTAAAAGTACGAATACGAAGAATTTCCTTCAATATTGATACCCTTGGAGGGAAAAACATATCCCAGATGTTGATACCAGCTTTGAAGTAGAATGTTTTGCTTCGAAGCCAGATTTTGGCGCCAAAAGTCAAATAACAACGGCTTCGAAACTAAGAAGCCAGCTTTGAAACTAAGAAGCCAGCTTCGAAGCGCATTCCATGCTTAAGAATGTAAGAATACTTAAATATTCATTCACTTAGAAGGGAATTAAAGACTTGTTTTGGGCTTCTTAATGAAAACAATGACCTTCGAAGTGAAACTTGTGACCTCGTGAGGATGGAAATTGGTGTTTAAAACATAATACACTAGATTTCGGCACCAAAAGACCAATAACAACGGCTTCGAAACTAAAAGCCGACTTCAAAGCGCATTCCGTACTTAATGGATACAAGAATGCTCAAGTATTCGTTTACTTCAAAAGGACTAAAGACCTGTTTTAGGTTTCTCAATGACAGTGATGTTCTTCGAAGTAAAGCTAGAAATTCCTTGGGAAGGGAAATTGGCATTCGAAACATCGAAACCCATAGTTGGTTTGTATATATATTCAGAAAAGTTGATTTTTTAAACTAAAACAGTGCCGCCCTCAAAAGGAGCTTCCATATTTTTAAAATATGGACTGTTGTTCAAAACAAAAAGATCAATTTAGAACTGATTAATCTGCATTCCCTAAATTGGAAAAGTTCATGGTCGTGTTGTTAGTATTCATTTTAAACGATCGAATCCAGGTTCGAAGGAAAAGATTGTTTAGTTCGAAGCTCTGTAATTGCTTTTAAAGACAAATAGAGACAAGATCAAACCATATCAAACAGAGAGAAGTCTTGTATTAAAGCAAAAGCAGTTACATCGAATGGCCCTATTTGGGTACAAACTCAAGCTCATAAAAATAAGGAATGGAATAAATAACAAGATCATGAAATTTAGTCCAACAATGATCAATGAATTTTTGTTCTTTCTTTATTCTATCTTTTATGTTTTCTAATATTGGATGCATGAGTTGATGTCCTCTCACTTCGTAGTAGAGCTCTTCAGCCTTTATTTCGAAAGCCGTCTCTCTCAATCCTTGTTCTAATTCGTCTATGTCCAAGTCATCCCAATACGCAGAATCTTTATTCTTGAAATCACCGAATTCTTCAATGAAGTTCTCTGCTTCGTACTGGGCATGAACTCGAAGAGACAAAAGTTGGTCTAAAGATTATGTAGTGGCCATAGAATTTCGATGCCAGTAGAGGAGCAATGGAAGTTGGTCCAGGAACATATGAAGTTCTGCTTGGGCAAGGGGATTAAGGACATGGCCCCTAGTCAGAATATCACAAGCCCATCGAAGGTTCTTGAGAGGGACTTCGTCTTCAAGAACAGAAGTGATGATATAAGAGAAAGCGTCTGAATGTAATCATAAACTATATATATGTTTGTCTTAACAATTTAGAATTTTTTTAAATATTGTATAGAATTTAATAATATTATTTAACATTATTAAAATAATGCGGGTCTTTATTAATTTTTTGTAAAACCTCAAAAGAGGTGAATGAAATTTACTATTTGAATATATAAGGGTAATTTTGAAATTTTTTACTTGTAGTATATGACGTCAGCATGATATCATCATAGTCAAATTAGTTCTATTTCAAGCGACCGTTTAAATTGTCAACAGAATAATTATGAATTTCAACTATGATCCGCATACGTTTTGGGTCATTTTGGTCTCTACAATTTTAATTTTATTAATTTCATCATTTGATATTGTGAGGTGGTGTTATCCATATTTTAGAATCAAATTAATAAAATTAAAAACTTCTAAGGCCAAAATTACATGAAACACATACTTCAGGAACCATTTGTGTACTTTCATTCTGTTAACTAACTATTTAGCCGGTCTATTTAAAATTGGACCAAATATACTCAAATTAAAAATTTTAATGACAAATTTAAAGCTTGAATGACCAAATTGACATAAAACACATATTTTAAAGACAATAAATATATTTTATTCTAACCTCTTTTATTATATTACCAAACACCACGCATACATAAATAGAGATAATCAACATTAACGTATCCCTATCATGTGTTACTTTAGGAGGGCACACTATTGGGACTTCAGCATGCCAATTTTTCAGCTACAGACTATACAACTACAGCAACACTGGTGCCCCTGACCCTGCCATTGATCCTGCATTCCTTCCTCAACTCCAATCGCTCTGCCCTCAAAATGGTGATGGTTCAAAGCGCATCGCGCTTGACACTGGCAGCGTTGGCAAGTTCGACACGTCTTTTTTCACCAATCTAGGAAATGGTCGTGGAATTCTTGAGTCTGATCAGAAGTTATGGACCGATGCTTCGACAAAAACTTATGTCCAACGGTACTTAGGTTTGAGAGGCTTGCTAGGGTTGGCTTTCGACGTGGAGTTTGGAAAGGCCATGGTGAAGATGGGCAACATCGAGTTGAAGACTGGCACTAATGGTGAAATTCGGAAAGTGTGTTCTAAAATTAATTAAAATGGATAGGATTTAATTTTGCTATAAGAGTTTGGAAATTAAATTAATGTATGTCACCATGTTTTGTTCTTGCTCTCCAAATTAGTTGGTCTATTAGTGGGTTTGATACCGAGTTATTATAAAAATAAATAATAAAAAATAAATTAAAAAGAAAGGCGTAAGCTTGATTAGGGTGTAGTGTATTAAGCTTTGAAGAAAGCAATACATGAAATTAGGTTTATTAGTTTTTATATATTGATGATTTCTCAAGTCTTGTAATTTTTGGATGAAAGAAATAAAATTTCAATCTACTTTTTGTTAATTGATGTCATATGGTTGATCTTGTATCCCTAATTTAAAGGTTAAACCATGGAATTTACCTGAAATATAGCTTTAGTGACAACAAAGCGATGAGTCTTATTCCTTCCTTAATAATTTATTTTGCTATATTTGATATAGATTCTTTTTTCGTTGCACAAAAAAATCAAAAAAAAAAAAAAATTACTAAATTTGAAGCGCTTATAAGTCTGCAATCTTTTTTACTTATACAATCTTTTTTGCCTATGAAAGATTGATAAGAAGCTTTTTCCTTCCCTTCTTCATAAGAAGTTTGTCTTTTTCCACTTCTTTTAATTGTCCAAATCTCTAATCCTTCGAAGTCTTGTCTGTTTTAATTTACTAGTACTCCATTATTTTAAATTTGATAAAATTGGAAAGCAAGAAAGCAAGTGAAGATGGTACCTATGCTCCACATGAGACTCAAACAAGAGCTTGGTCCCAAAGTCAAATGTATTTGTCAAAAAAGCATCCAATTTAGCAAACACTTTCTAAAAACTATGGGTTATTGTCTCCAGGAGTGAAAACAATGTCAAATATCACAATGAAGGTTGGGCAAAATGTCCTGCATTAGCCATTCAGTCATAATCCCGTATGCTTTCTGCGTCATAACTAGCAAGTTCTTAAGCTTCTCCACTGAGTCTGTTTATTAAACATACACAACCATATAAATAAAAAAAAATCATGCTACTTTTAATTCTAATTAAATCTATTTAATTTGAAAAAGTTACCAACCCCTATCTGAATTGCATATGGGATTAAACTGTTCCAACACTCATTCAAGTTTAACTATAAGTGAACTATTAATTACCATTGTTGTCATTTTCTTAGCAGCCAAAGCTTGTACCGATAATGCAACCCAAGCTGTAAAATTACCACCAAAAAAAAAAAACAAATGCATTTAAGTGATTTAAGTATAACATAAAAAATTGACTTAAGTACTTGATAATTTCACACATCAAATTGAATGGTCAATTAAAACACACACTGAAGTAGTTGATCATCGACCTGCCACTGCAAAACCCGGTGCCGTTCTTGAAAACTGTTTTTCGCCATAAGGAAGGCTGGCAAAGTGTCACAGCCTTGGTTTTTCCAAGCCAACCGTGCGGCCTTAGATGCTTATGCACTCCTTGCTTACACCTAAGTAAGCCTTCTTTGGAAGAGAGCTAGCAGAAGTTTGCACACACAAGAGAGACTTAGAGAAACTTAGAGAGAGCTCTTGGAGAATGCTAGCTTTGTATTGCTTGAATGCTTTGGATTACACTTCGTGGTTTGGGCAAATGAGGACCTTCCCTTTTATAGGCTACAATGAACATTCTAGAACTACACTAATAGAGAGCGTTCTAGACACTTCTTCCACCTTTATCTTATAGACTATTCTAGATCTGCAAGGATGGAGAGGATTCTAGATCCTTCTCCTATCTTCTCAAAGAACCTATTCAAGAAGTATGTACAAGCTTCTAGTCTTATGTACAATTGTCTACAATACTCTAGGGAGTTCTAGAAGCTTCCTACATCCTGCATGGTCTTCATATTTTCTCAAGTCTTCCAGGAGCTTCCAGAATATTCCCTTAGCCTCCCTTCCATGAGACTTCTTTTTGGTAGGTAATTCTGTCCTGGTAATTTGGCGGGATGTAACAGAAGGCAACAGCATAACCGATTGGAGTCTCCCGAAATAAATTTCCAGTGTCGGAGATTGAATCTCCGAGCCAATTAACAATGGTCTGATAGGGTTGAACAAGAAGAAACAAGGACACCATTGCCAAGAATAGTAGCTGAGAGGAAATAAGGTAGGTGGTTGCCATTGCTGTGATCAAGAAATTGAAGAAAAAACTAGTCAGTCATTGAAACTATAATTATAATTTGGTTGTGATATTATATTTAGGAAGCCGCTATTATCATAAAGTGAAGTGAGAATAACAGCTTCTTATATTTAATATTTTTTGTGAAAACTACATTTAAATATGAAAATTTTCAAACAGTTATAAATTGCCACATACTACAAATGTCATGGCACAATCACTTGTAAATCAAATAACGCCACGTGTTTAATTGGTCTCAAATCAAGATTATATGGTGAAAAAATCACAAATATGTCAAAATGATGCAGTCTCTTTAAGTGGACAAGCCTTATCCTAATCAAATTAAGCCTCTTACTACATTGAGGTGGTCAAGCCAATAAAATTATGACATACCATTAAAGTAATATTTTGATATTTATCTCTAAATAAATTAGAAATAATTATCAAAAAAGTTCAAGTCTGTTAAAACTCTCCACCACACATGCGTGATCTCCCACAAAATTTTACATACAATTCTAGATGCACAAAATCATGTGGTAATGAGAAAAATTTACATCAAGCTCTAAAGCCCTGAAGGTCTATTCGTTAAAACCTATCAATCTCCATAGAGCATTAAGTTTGGAGGATCAAATTAAAGTTTGTCATAAAATTTTGTAAATTTAGAGTCTTCTTCTACTAAATTGATGAAGATTTTACAAACCTAATTTGGAAATAAGTTATCAACAACTTAAGTCATTATTCTACAAATTCGTTATCTTTTTTGTGTTATTTGAAGGAGATTTTGCCATTCGATTAGAGAATAAGTTGTCAAGCACTGGTGTCAACTTTTTGAAGAGAAAAATTAGAGGATTATTTGTCGTTCAATTACAGAATAAGTTGTCAAGCCCTCGAGTCAACTTTTTGAAGAAAAGAATAGGAGAATTCACTACAAGAATTAACACTTTTGCCGACCAAAAAATTGGTCGCTAAAAGCCCATTTTTAGTCGGCAAAAGTTATCCGCGACCAATTTTTTTGGTCGCTACTTTGGTCGCCAATTGAGGGTCGGCAAAAGTAATTCGCTAACAAAATTTTGGTTGGTCGGGAAAAGTTGGATTTGCCGACTAAATTTTTGGTCGCTAAATATATCATTACTGCGACTAATCCATTTTGTCGCTAAAACACTTTGGTCGCGAAAAGCAATATTTTCCCAACCAAATATCTTAGTCGCCAATTGTCACATTCTACGACCAAATAGATTAGTTGCCAAATGTAAAGGAATCGTCGACTAACAATTTAGTCGCCAAAAGGAAAGGAATTGCCGACCAACGATTTTAGTCGCAAAAGTGTAGAATTTGCCGACCAATTTTTTCGTTGCCAAATTTCTTTCTTTTTCTTTTTTTTTTTTTTAGAACAATCAATTTTTGTTTATAAACCTTCAATCCAATATCGAACAAAATTCATTCAACCTATCCACAATTAAGGAACAATAACATTTAAAAAAGAAAAAGCTTACGAACAATCATTAACAAATTTCTTTTCTTGTAACTTCACTAAATCATCAAACAATAATTGAATTCCATCTACTAGTCTTATATGCAACTGATTCAATTGGGCAGAGTTCAGTTGTAATTTTTACCCCATGGAATGATTGCAATTACACAAAATAGTTTTCACTGCAGGGAACATATCTAATAAATTTAAGGTGGGAAATTTCTTCAAAGCAATATAATTTTGCATCAGGAAGATAAATCATAGAGTGAGGAGCACAAACAACCCTGGAGCAGCATGTCTTTCACACTATCCGCTCTAACTCCCTTGCGTAACTGAGTGTCTGGTTTATTAGTTGCAGAGACGGTATGTCCTTGCAAGGTGAAGATTCTTTTGCCCTATGGAAAATTACAAACCCATTCTTTATCTCCCACTCAGGATGCTCCTGCAAATTGCACATAAAACAATGCTTATCAAGGAGCCCTTAAATTGGACACTAAATAACATTACAAGGCTTCCATGTTGGTGGATTATGGTGGTGTCATTAATGTAATGATAATATGAATGAAAAGACACCCATAATGCATCTATTGAAATTTAAAATCCCTATTCCCAAACAGAAATTGAAAATTTAAACTTTAAGGATTTGAAAGTAAAAAACCCTAAAGGAGGAGGGACCACATTGTTTTGAGAACAAGAATTTACTCACTACTGCTCTTGGCAGAAAGAACAACAATATGAAGGAAATGAGCAAACCAAGAATGACTTTCAATTAGATGCTTAGTACTGCCCTTAAACTATAGACCATCAAAGCAGATCTAGCCAGTAATGCATTCTACTGATTAACAATAAGAATAAAAATGAGTTAAGCAACAGGAAGTTTACCTCCTTGATATACTCAAAAAGTTCTTGGTCAGAAGAGAACATCAATATTTTTCGGGCATCATTAATTGAAAGTGAATCATAGGCCTCTTCATTGCATCCAGATATTTCATCTCTACAAGAGACAATGAACTACTAAGCACACAAAACTAACCACTTATTCAAAATGAATATGAATTAGAGATGGGATGAACAATAAGAACAAGGTCTTTCAACTGAAGTGACAACCAATAACCCAAGAGTTGAAAACACATGATTACTGTCTGTTCTCATAAGAAGTAATTTTATGTATGTATAAAATCAAATACATTGTCAGTGTTCCATACAAATTATGTGTACCATCGTCACTAACTTGATATTATGAACAAATGTAGGAAAAGAGAAAAGGAAACACATAACCAAAACAAATATGTAGACTCACTCACCATAATGTAAATTTTAATGGGAAGTCAAAGTTGCTACCACGTAGATGACATGCATATAAAAAAGCAATACTACTTGCAAACATGAATTTGATTGGTATTACTATCACACAAAACACATTATTCGAGGTACAAATATTACCTAAATCAGATCAGATGAAGATATTGTTAGTAAGGATGAAGATCAGTTTCATGAAGAAGCCTAAAAATCCATGATTACCCAGTGGTAAGACCAAATGAGACAAAAATATTAGCTTTTGGAGAAGTGAAAACATACCTTCCCCATTATTGTTGGCTTTGAGCACCACAAAAACATATTTAGCTAAAGGTAGTAGGGAAATTGTGTACATTACTAGTGATAATTGCCCTAACAGATCAACATCCAACTTGATAGGCACCTTGTTGAACACATCAGT